CGTCAGGCAAACACTGTAAAACTCCCAGCGACGCGAGAAAGGTATTAAACTTAACATCAACGCCGATATTTCATAATTAGTTCAAAGCTCTTGTTTATAAATGTTATGTTAGTGTACAACCATAAGGGAAGCCCTAGTGATGTTTGTCTGTAGGGGCAGGTGAGAGGGGCAAGTATTGCGAGCTGGAGACCGAAGACGCCACAGAGCACGCTTCACTTCTGAGTCCTCGTGCGTCGTGAAACATATAAATGTCATGCGATGAAACAAATGGCACCGCTACAACCCTTGTTCTGTCCAGCAATATCACCATGCGGAGTTGTGGGTTGCTGTGATCATTCCCTTTCCATACCAATCAGGGATTCACCACTACCCACAACACATCTTCCACAGTGATCGAAACAACTTGATGAGAGATATCGTGAGATGAAACAAGGTGTGCATACGTAATGAGACCCGAATATTAGAATGTCTAAGTGTCATGAGAGACGATGTTGAAATGAAAGCGAATTGCCGCTGTCCTATCCCTTGTTGGGTGAAAATTTCTCCAGCTTTTTAGTGGTCCGTACCTCCGATTTCCATCTTTTCGTCTTGCTCATTGGGCCAATACTGTTCGCACTTCATTTTGCCCTGCTCAATCGTGTCGCACAACATTATAATATGGGACACATGCTCGAACAGAATCATGCGCCAGAAATCAGCAATTGTTGTCATGATTGGGCCCTGAAAATGAGCACATTCCGATGCGATGCTATTTGAGAATTTTAGAAAGGCTGGGAAAACTGATGAACGAAATCACCTGACCTGTGTGCAGATGAAAGTGTTGACGAGGCACTGCCCTCTCACGTAGTTAGCATGAATATAATCGGAGCCTTTACCATCTTTGATGATCACCCGGGTCAGATCATTACAGATGACGTCTGAATAAGTGATTGAGAAAGTTTTATTCAGCACCAAGTCGCGAATTGGTTACACATTCCGATGTACGAATTCATTAATCCAGAAATTTCACATGGAAAAAGCGCAGATGCGAGCGGAGATCAAGCGGCACCCTGGACCCACCGCACTACGCAATTGCTATATCACTGATTCGATCTGGATAGTCTGGCTCGGTTCCCGAAGCATGTTTTCATGCTCTTTCCGAAAACGAAATCAAGCCGAAAAATAAAGGTCCATCAGGGTGAGAAGTGTACCACTGGTGTTGCGAGAAATTGTGGCTCGCTTGAGCCATCGTAGCTTACCATTAGATAGGACATCAATAGTTAGATTTTTAGACATGCTTTCCTTTCTTGGTGTTTGGAATGTGACAGTATAAAAGCATTTTTGTGTATTTCAAGGTGGGAGCATAATTTACAATACAGTCTGAGAATAATTCACTTTTCCAGAAAAAATATTCGCCTCACCTTTGTACCGATTCTTGGTCGGGTTCTGATCGAAAATCTCTCTTGAATAAGTGCTGGCAAGATAAGGTTTGAGCGTGGCGTATTCTCCGATGAGACCTTCCACGCCGATTTCAAAGATTACCTGAACACAAACAGAGTTAAATTGTCGGCAAAAAACTATAAGCGACCAAGAAAATACGAACCAATGTTTGCGGAATCGCAATGATTCTGTGGGGAGATCTGGCGATTCGAGACGTCCTGACTAACGGGGTGGCAAAACGGTACATAGCGTTCAGGGCGGCATCATGATGCAGTTTCTCGGCGAACTAGTGTGAACTCGAACATTCCAGCTTTTCACGCATGTCAAGTGACTGCCCTCACCCCCACCCCCTAGACTGGCTACACTCCCCTGGCTCGGAGTTACCCTAGCTTTCTGGAAAAACTGCATCATGATGCCCCCCGAACTGGAATAGACCCATCACGTCTTCAACTTATATGTTCTCCCCGCAATGAGATACGGAGGCGGAGACGTGGAGCACCACAGTCTCTGAAGAGGAGAAACTCGCAGTCACTCAGCGAGCCATGGAGAGGGCCATGTGCGGGGTAACGCTCCGAGACCGCATACCCAATGACACCATCCGCGCTCGTACGATGGTGAAGGACGTCGGAATGCCATCTAGGAATTCCAAGAGGTGGGCCG